TTTATTATGCACATGATTTGATGTGATTTTATGAATGACTTACCCAGAAATTTTCTATGTTCATAGCCAAATCAAAGCGACAATTTACTTAGGAACTTTTACATGCAATTTACACACACATTGAGGCTCCGTCCACACGAAGCCAGAGCTTTCCCTATCCGATCTTTTTTTTTCTCCTCGTCTCAAGAAACATCTGCGTCCACACGAAACATGCCAGACCAACATGTGGCGCTGTAATTCTGCCACAGAGATACACTAAAAACGGAGAAGTAGTCTTGGACTATGCTCATAAACCTTGTGTGTGGTATACAAACAAACATGGAACAATACATTTATTAATCTGTGTTAATGTTAGTTAATAAAAAGACAATGGTTCAGTGTTTGTTCATGTTTTTGTTGCTGTTACGTGATGTAGCGGTGTCTGACTAGGGACGAGACGTGGGCTGATGACGTCATCGTTTCAGAAAATATACAGATTCGCTGTCCACACGAAAACGCAAGGGTGGCGTTTTCAAATTTATCCACTCTGGGACCCGGTTTCAAAAAATATCGGTTTCACTCTCCCAAAACGCCGGCTCCGTCTGGACGAAACTCCTATACGATACAAAATGTATGCGTATACAGCTAAACGCGTCTCCGTGTGAACGGGGCCTGATTATGTACATAATCAATTCAATGTGACAATTTACTTACCCAGAAATTTGTTCTGCACATTCAATGCAACAGCTAACACAGGAATGCTTAGACAAACGATTTACACAGAAACTGGCACTGTTCAGAGCCAGTTCAGAGAAAATGTATATAAGAATTGTTTACGACCGTAAAAACTTACATAAGAATGGTTTTACTAATAATTTACATAGACATTCGTTCTGCTCGCATTTCTGCTCATTAATAAAGCCACTGAAAAAATTGCATCCTCCTGGCAGCTTTGGTGAACTATTGTCAACGGACTATGATTTGGGACACACTAATCTTAATCAGACTTATTATTTAGGACAGATAATGCGTGAATTGGGGCGCGGGGTCTATCTATCACACTCATTAGCTGTGACCTAAAGAAGCAGGTGCAAATAAACAGGTCGACACGGGTGTGGACCAGTTTCCACACTTAAAACAGAAAATTGATTTCTTCTTTGTAGAACTTGTAGAACCTTAAATGCAAAAATACATGCTTTTGCAATTGTTTTACCCAATTTTCAAAATTAATTTCCATATAAAAATACTTAAATGTCTGTATTAAACATTAACAAAAATGTATACTTTTTAAAAAAAAAAAGTTTTTAAATTATGGCTTATGAATTTTTACTTTGGCTTTCCCAAACTTTGTTGATTCTATGCACATTATTTACTTTTTTCATGTGTGCAAGATTATGAGTTTGCAGCTAATTTATTGACATTCAAACACCGATTCAATTGTGCAAACAGCCATACAATCACAATACAAGATTTAATATGATCCATCTATAAGCCTCTATTAAACACTGTCAAAACTCACTCAACCGCCAACTCTTTATCATGAGATTACAAGACGTCTCCTCATTCCTCTCTTTCTTGTTCTCTCTTGCTTTACCTTGTTCTACATCCTATGTCCTACATCGCCCCCTCTTTCCTCTCGATTTCTCCCGTCTGCAGCTCATTTTGAAATCAATGATTTCAGAACTTCATTTCCTCGCATTTCCTAACGCCTGAAGGGCTGTTCTCACTCTGGGCCCATTTTCTCTCTCTCCATCTCTCTCGCTCGCTCTCTTTTTCTCAGTTGTCGGGAGTCTGCTGGGCTTTGGGTGATGGTTGGGTCTAGTCGCCAGCATACTGCTGGCCCCGATAGCAGCGGACCCTATCTTTAGCTGTTCAGTCACAAATGCTGCTCAGAAGCACCCGGAGCACTGCCGCTTTGTGGCCAACCAACGAAACATCGGCTCCGTTCCAAACCCTAGCGAGCTGCCTAGCAAGACAGCAACGTGCAACAATCTTCAGCAGGCAGCAAAATTACATTGCTTTACCAGATGTCTCATTTGGGCACAAATTTAAACAAGCATCACTTGCATCATTTGCAGAAAAGCCAATCCCAAATGCATTGTAATGAATCCAAAATGACGAGGGAAATATAGTTTGATTGTGTTGTCTAAACACAATTCCAACTGCAACATTGTAAAACAAACAATTTTTCATTAGTAGAGCAAAAATAAAATTAGCTGGTAGGGATGGGCCAGAATTGTTGAGCTAGTATATTGAAGCTGAAGTACAATAACAGGTTAAGGCAAGAAGTCTGAGCACTGAAACATACACAACTAAGATTGTTTAATAAACGCTAATTGTTATCATAATTATTTCATCTCCTGCTCCTCTCGGGATTTCTCAGTCAATTTCTTGGCTGACAGAAGACTGTTAATACAGTTTTGGGTTCCACAGAAGACATGCTGTTAACATGCTTTGTGTATAAGATAAATCTACTGACTAGTTGTTCGGACACCAGACAAAACAGATATTTTCTGACAGGATATGGCATCCGGGGCTGAATCTAATATTTCCAGCATGGACACTTGATCTAACTTTTTTTTTCTTATTCTTTTTTTTTTACATTTTGAGATTTTGGGATACTTGGCTTTTCATAGCATGTTGTTTCAGACAAGTGTAATGAAAATGTCCAAAATCCAAATAAAATCCAAAGTTTTTATTGAATTGCACTTTATCTATTTGCACCTGTAGGTTTCAATGACTATATTGAATATATATTTTTATGTATATTCTGAAGGTTTTACAGAGGGGTTTGTTAAAATACCATTTGCTTGATTTTATACAAAATTGTATTCTTAAAAACAAAATTATTATTATTATTATTATTATTATCATCATCATCATCATCATCATCATTGTCGTTGTTGTTGTTATTAATTATTTTTTTTTAAATTTATTATTATTATTGTTGTTGTTGTTTATTTTATTTATTTATTTTGGCTATTGACAGTGTTTTCTTTATAAAATGATGAAAAGAGATATCCAAAATCCCATCTGTAAAAACCTTTAACTTGCTAACAAAATAAAACAAGAATTTTGAACCTGGCTTTATCCAATGTAAAATGTTGTTTTGGAAATATATGCAAATTAGTGCATATTCAATTAAATATCTCTTCATTTGCATTTTTTAAGAAAACTTGTAAAACAAAAAAATGCAATACTTAAAGGGGGGGGGAGGGGGATTACAATGCTGTTTCATGCATTCAGAGTTGTTTACACTGTTAAAGGAGACATATTATACCTCTTTTTACAATATGTAATATAAGTCTCTGGTGTCCCTAGAATGTGTCTGTGAAATTCCAGCTCAAAATACTCCACAGATCATTTATTATATAATTTTGAAAATGCCTATTTTGAGTGGAAGCAGAAACAAGCTGTTTTTCGGGCCTGTGTCTTTAAATGCAAATGAGCTGCTGCTTCCCGCCCCCTTTTCCAGAATAGAGCTCGGACCTGCTAAAAAATATCATGTTTATCGCGCTGAAATCATGCGTTTTAAACAATATGAGTTTAAACTTCTGATATACAGTTTTCTGAGCGCACACATCCGAACGAAGCACACGGACAGAAAGCGGCTGTCAGAGCATGTGAGTACTAAACTAAGCTATCATTCACACACAAGTTTATGTTAAAAACACACAAGTTACAAAAACAGTCGGTTATGTCTGTGAAGGTAAACAGCTGGAAAATAAATCGCTTGTTTATTTTAGATCTGTGTGGCAGCAGCAATATACAGTAAATAAATCAATAAATCCACTGCTGTCTTGTCTCCTCTGAGGCTTGGACTGTAAATAGTGTTCTGTGCTCATCTGTGCAGCCAAAGACAGAACAGTTAGCATGTTTTGCTCAAACTTTTGCCATGGCATTAGAGCTGGGCAATAATGGCATCCCTTTGCCACGTCACTAAGGGAGTGAAATCAGTAAGTTAAACTGCATCAAATATGATAAAACTAAAGACTTTTTGGAGATATGAAGGATGCAGTACTACTCTATAGGTACTCAAGATTAACATGAGATTGGGTGAAACTGTGTGTGTTATGTCTCCTTTAATGTAATCAGTGTGGTGATATCTACAGCTTACATTTATATACCCTATTTACCTGTGGTGCCTTGCTTTAATACTTTTGCAGTGGTGCTTTTAAAAGGGGACGCCACTTGTCAAAGTTAGCACAAAGAGGCGCAACTTCTCAGCGAGTGTTTTAGTACGAAAACTCTCATCTGCTTTAAAGCATCGCCACCATCAAAGTAGCATTTGTGCAGTTAGGATGCATTAGAAGGTCGCTGACTAAATAGAAAGCATTCAGCAAACTAGAATTAAGAGCAGTCATTTTGAGTCTCCTGTGTGTGTGTCTGCATGGCATTGTAGAATCTTGGCTAATCTCACTCGAACACCAATTTATGATGAGAAATTCTGAGTGTCTCCCAGTAAAAGACCTCAGGCAGTGTTCATATGCTACTTTTAGTCAAAAGTACTAAAGTACTTTACTTACCAAACACATGACTCATTTCTGAAGCTTAATAAACACTCATTTTTCAGCTATAATTGTCACATGCGCCTGCGTATTCAACCTATAAAAGACTCAAACCAACACAACAAAAAGCACTTCAAGATCTTCAAAGAATACTGTGGTGTATATGTCCAAAAAACATGGTTGTACACCACAGCATTTTTTATGGAAACGTGTAAATGTGATGCTCCATTCATCTCTGAAAGCTCTATGAGCATCTTATGTGTCGCTGTGTCGTGTCCTGTGGATTTGAAGAGGGAGCAGATTGGAGGAAGACAAACTCATTACCTGCTTAGTTAAGCAGGCTAATAGAGAACAGTGGGCATTGATAATACTTTTTTAGAAATCCAATTTTTTTTTTATTAAAAGAGACAGTGGATCGATTCCCCTTTTTAATGTAACAGATAAGAGTTTTACACCACGATTATCAATGGCTCGACTTCCTGCTGGGAGAGAGCGATTGTTAGCGCTGCTCACCTCCAGTGCTTTGCGTTTCCTGTTGAGCAGTTTGGCGATGTCTCCTGATACCTTCTCCACCAGCTGTTTGGGCGTGCTTCGCTCCACAGCAAACTGATTTCTCTTCTCATTATAAATCTGTGGGAGGGCAAAGGTCAAAGGTCAGGCACACAGTAATTTCCTTTGTGATCAATTACATTAAAAATGACAGACTTTTGCAACTCAAAACAAAAATCTTTATATTTTACATATGAAAGTCAATATTTAAAAATCTAATCATTTATATATTTTCTAAAAAAATGTAATAGAATAAGTAAAAGAGTTTATTTTTTGTCAAAGATAGATAGATAGATAGATAGATAGATAGATAGATAGATAGATAGATAGATCGATAGATCGATAGATAGATTTTTAAGTGATGTCTCAAACTAAATCATTAAATCACTGAAGCAGACCATTTGAAATAATTTATCACCATTTTAATGAGCTCTCAAAAATATTTCTTAGTTAATATGTTCCAGTAAGTTGAGTAACCATGAAACTAGTGTACTGGTATATTCTAAGAAACTTAATCGTCAAGTAAAATCATTACACTATTCATTACGTTGATTAATTTCATAACTGTTTACCTTATCATTTTATATATATTTAAATATATATTTTATTATTAAAGCAATTAGATATTAATATTTATATAAAATGTAAATATACATTATTTAATATTATAAACATTAAAATATAAGAATGTATAAGTAACATATTTTACCACATATAAATGTATGATTAAAGAAAATCAATATATTAAGTACTAAAACGGCATACATACATTAAACACAGTGTAAGCAATTTTAATGCAATGACTCATCCTCCAATCTTCCAGTTGCCAAATAATACATTTAATATTCCAACATAATTTAAAATAATCCAAAATAATTTTTAGTATGCTGTACAGTTATATACTAAATAGTAAAACCTCAAAGCTAACAGATGTGGACTAGAAGATGTCTGTATGGACTTCATAACCACACAGCGCAAAAAAAAAAAAAATCAACATGAATTTAATTCGATTAAACTAAGTGAAAAAGAGTGCAAGTCATGCCACAATCTGATGTGGACTTATGGGTCAGCATTGTTCCTCACGTCAGCGCTTTTCCCAGTGATTTCTTTACATTGTTTTATAAGGTAATGCAAAGTGGCTAGAATCAATAAATAATCTTTCTTATTTTTAATTTTTGGATTTTTAATGCCCTCAATATGGAAAAGAAAAACAACATTTAGATATACAGCCAATGCTAAACCGCCTTTATTGAGAGGCTATTATTAACAAAACAGGTTTAAATTTAATCTGTATTTGTATTCAGTAAAGTGTGAAACGCTGGAGTGACTCATGGACTTTAGCTTTCAGGAGAAGAAATTAGGTCAAAATGTGGAGAAAATAATATACTTTAGATTGTGTGTGTGTGTGTTTGTGTGTGTGAGTGTGTGTGCGTGCGTGCGTGCGTGCATGTGTGTGTGTGTTTGTGTGTGTGTTGAAATGGAGGAAGCAGGAACAGCAGGCAGGAGGGTCTGCTGTCTGTGTCGGGCCAAGAGATCTAGATGAACTGGGCCAAACACACTCACACCACTGAACCAGAGTGAGCAAAAGCCCATCCAGTTCAATATGCTTCCACTGGCAGTCACACATAAGTACATAATGACACTCTCAAACAAACACACACAACACAAACTAGCGTGGTCTCCAAAAGCAGGACAGAAACAGAACACATAGTGTCTCATTAGTGAAGAGACTCGTCCCAGTATGCCAAACTGAGACTGTGTTAGTATAAACACACAGATGGCTGCTAAACATCTCCTTTAGTGTCCTACTAAGAGAGTCATACCGGACTGGAAAGCCATGAGGGTGAGTAAATGATGATAACCTAAAACAGCTCTCTCAGTAAACACTTCAACACACGCGCCCGTACCTGTAATTACACTCCAGCAGATTTACTTTCCCTCCCTGACAGCCAGTTTCCTTTCCAAACACCAGAGACAAAGCAGCAAAAGAGTTTCAATTTGACCTTGTGTCTTATTTTTTTTCTTCGCAAAAAGATTTGTTTGAGGTTTTCTCTTTTTTTTTTACACGACTTGCTCGCGTCGGAGATTATTGTTTTAACATTTTTCAAAAGAGAGAGATAAAAAAACATTCAAGAAAGTTTTCATGTGATCTTCATATAACAAAAAGGGAAAAGTTATCTATTGTTTTAATAAAAACCAGCTCCTGGGAAATCAAAGTGCCTGAAGCTAAACCAGCATGTAAATTCATGTTAGTCTCTAGCTGAACTCTACAGCAAGGATGGCAATAAATCAGAACCGTTTTCAGCGATGATGTGTCCGATTGAGCCAAACTCTGAAAGATATCACATTAACTGCTGGCTCATGTCACTCTCTATGAGGAAACCGACCATTTGAGCAGATGGTGTATTAGATGAGTGTGCTGATGCTAAGCACCAGTGCAGCAGCTACAACTCAAACACTCAAATATACTGGTGATCTGGTTGTTTCAGACAAGACATTCACGTACACACCATCAGGCTGTAAAATAACACACAAAGTCAGGATCAGAAGAACGGATATAAGAGATGGGGACGCCACACGCTTATCAGTGAAGAAAAAAAGAGCCTTTATCTCTACATCCTCATCTCTTTAAGACAAATATAAACGTCAGCTCTTTATTAAATTGCTAATAGAAGTTATTGTGTTTGCATCAGCTCCAGTTCTGCATCTCTTTTGCCCTCTACCTCTCAATCATTCTTTCTTTCTCTCTAATAGTGTAAAAGTTCACATCACGCCTGATTCGTCCTTCACGCCTGATTCATTTAAAGTCAACATGAAACAAAATTCAGCCGGTGATTCACAAACTTCATGAGATGACAACCTTTATATTTATTTGAAGGTTTTCAAATTACTATTTAAATAATTGTTGTCAGATTATTTAAAGATTCATTTAAAATCTTCAAGTAGATTTTCACATGTTCACAGTTCTCTGATGTTGGTTAACAGTCACATGACATGCAGGTAAACAAATATAACATTCATTTCTTTAGTAAGCATTTCATTTATATTTTTTCATTTTAGAATTATTTATGTCTACAATTATTTTATTATTTATTCATAAAATATTTCATTATTTTTTATTTTAGTTTGACTATTTGACTCAACTCACAAACCTCAGTTTTGTTATTATTTCTGTAAACTTTTTATCACATTAAATTACTACAATACTAATGCCAATATGGGGGGGAAGGCTTGGATTATCTAGCTAAAACAAAACTATTAGCTTAAAATATTGGTTATTAGTTAATATTAATCACTAGCCCTTAGTCAATGTCATGTAGTCTTTCATTATATTCTGCTGTTTAATGCATTATATTCATTACAATAATAAACACATTTACACAGAAGGAAGACATTTAACGACAGAAATGCAAAACCACTAAGTTCCACCTATAAACATTGTTATAACATTATATAATGATACAATACAATAAACTGGAGGGCAAGGGGCTGATGGAGGTTTGGGTATGTTAGTTATGCACCTAAAGTCAATGTCACATCACAGGATGCAATTAAGGAAAATTGTGCTGTAATCTGCCAATTACGTCTGTGTTCCTTGGATAGAGCTGATAACTAATTAATGTAGAGAAGGTGGAAACAGGAAACCAGCTGTGACACATAAGTTCTCTCACACACACACACGCAAGCAGACAAACACACACTTCAGGCTGTCTTTGATTGAGTTTGACACACAAACTCTCACAGCTACAAACCCCGAAGCATCCCCTTGTGAGCTGATTGTACCAATAGCTAAGAGGTGTGTGTTTGTGTGTGTGTGTGTGTGTGTGTGTGTGTGTGTGTGTTGAGCTCATCATGCTAATCACCCCTCTATTTCCTGCTTTGCTGATGAAGGTCGTCATCTGTCCATCAACGTGAGCACAATCTATCGACTGCACATGTTTAGTCTCCTCTCCTCCATTGAGTCACTGTATTATTAATGGCATCTGTTAAATCATCATTATAACCAAAGCTCATACTTGTGCTTAGAGATCTTAAAATCTCCTAAGCGTTAAACTTTGGCATGTAAATCAACTTCAACAACAAAATCTCATACCAAAAACCATGTGTCATGATGAGGAGAAGTGTGTGCTTGGTAAAATGCCCACAAACACCTAAAATCATGCTGGTGTGTTTCGCACACCACTTCCGTTTGCTTCGGTCATTAATGTCTCGTCTTGTCTCCATCCTTCTCTCTGGCTTCCGTGTGAGAGTCTGTAGCCTGCAGGCTTTTACTCAGGATTGAGCTAAAATTAAAGGGGTCATATGATGTTACTAAAAAGAACATTATTTTGTGTATTTGGTGTAATGAAATGTGTTTATGCGGTTTAAGGTTCAAAATACACATTATTTCCACATACTGTACATTATTGGTTCTTCTCTATGCCCCGCCTATCTGAAACGCGTCGATTTTTACAAAGCTCATCGGTCTGAAAAGCGAGGTGTGCTGTGATTGGCCGAATGCCTCAAGCGTGTGACGTAAATGTTACACCCCTTACCATACTGTGATGCCCTGTCCGGCCAGAGCGATGAGACAAAAACATTAAAACCCATTATAAACGAGGCATTTGTTGCATCCAGTGGGGACATAATTACAGATTATAATGACTTATACTGTCTTTTTACGCGTTGCATCGCGCCGCGTAAACATAAAACCATGTCTGCATTTGTGATCGGAGAAACGACAAACAACAAGCGCTACTCTACACTGCTCAAAACTCGCGTTTGAATCGTCAGTGGCAAATCCTTTAAATATGAAAACGTACTTACAGTCTGTGAGTCAGAACAGCCGGCATTGTAGTCTACTCTACCAGGAAACAGTCCTCCATAAAATGTGCTGCACACATCTGAATATTTGGGTTGAACTGTTCTGGAACAGTGTTGTAAATACAAATCAACCACTGATTTCTAGTCGTGTCCTCTTTTGGAAGGCCAAACAAAGTAGATTCGCTTTCACAACGAAACACATGGCGTCACACACGGCGGGCTAGAGTGCGTGGTGGCTGGAGGCCTAGAGTAAGCGGAGGCCGGCTTGAGTGAGCGGC